GTCGATCCTTGTTTCAGAGCGGCATCAGAGTTTCCACCCGCTGGGCGGGGCGAGGCGGGAGGCAACAGCTGACTCGGCTCGGGCCAACGTGGTGGCCGTCTGGTAGCCGGGGGCGCCACGTGGAGGGAGGAACAGAGGGGGGAGGAAAGAGGAAGTTTCGCGCTGCTGCCCTTGTTGGCGTGGTCAAGGCGACGAGTCGCTGCAGTAGCGCACGCGGCCTGCCCTATCTACCCGAGAGCGTCCTCCTGGCTTATCCGGAGGGGATGAGAGGAGGGCACAAAGCTCTAGCAAATATCACACGGACCCCGATCAATCAGCGCAAATAAAGGATCGTCCAAAAAGTCAAAAACTACACCCGCTTTTTCACAGATTTATTCGGCAAACTGCGGGAGCTCGGAGCCTGCGCGACTCAGGATCGGCCACCCCGCAGTACACGCATGTAACTGCAGTCATGATGTTGTCTACCTATCAGGCGCTATAGGAGTTTGCAAAAGCTGAACGACTAGCCAGGTTCCTCACGACGAATGTACTTTCTGGATGAACCCTAAAAAGACGGCGAAAAGACACAACCTAACCTGTTCTGCTTTCCAAACGCTCAAACCTCCATGGATTAATTTGTCGTGCGCCAACGGCCGCACCTTTGGGCAGAGACGGTCTAACCAACGATGGGTGCAGCTACGACGCACTTTTATCCATGCTACGGGGTGTAAGCCATGCAACGCCAAGGGTTTCGGAGGGGCACACTTTCCATCTCGATAAATCAGAAGATGTTTATCGGCCCCCGATGCAACCATTCACTGAGCTGAAGCAAAGAGGCTAACAAGAACAAGGTGCGCCCTGCAAAAGCATCTCTTTGGCAACTTGGATAAACAGTGCCTGGAGCCATGTGCAAGCGACTATAAGAGATCGTCAAGAAAGAACGTCTGCGTTTCTTGCGCTTTTCACGATTTATTCGGTAAATTACGGCAGCTCGGCGCCTGTGAGACTTGGGGTAGGCCACCCCGCAGTACATGCATGCCCTGCAGACAAGATGTTGCCTACCTCGCAGGCGTTATGAGAGCTTGTAAAGGCTGAATTGGGCAGGTTAGTAACGGCTATCGACGGGCGTGCTTTATAGTTGATCGCTAAGGCGAGGACCCAAAGGCAAGGTTTAGGTAGCATCTCCAGCCAGAACGCTGTCGGAAGAGCAGTGTACATTTGCTTCGCATAACATCCGGCACAGCACTGACGCAGCTGAGGCTGGGCCTGCGCTTGCATGATGAGTGTTTTGATGCGGTTTATTCCACGCGGCCCTTGACCGCAGTCAGCTGACTGGGGCCCCGGCCGCCCCGGCCGCCCCGGCGGCGCGGCTCGGGCAGGTGGCGCCTCTGGCCACGCCAGCTGGCTGCCCGGGCGGTGTGCCTGGCGGGCGAGGCGGGCGGGGCCGGGCGGGGCAGAGCGGGGCAGAGCGGGGCGGCGCGGAAAGAGAAAGGGAAAGGCGGCAAGTCGGACCGACCTTGCCACTGGATAGACCGCCCTCCCCGGACCCGCCTCGCGCCGCCCCGCCCCGCTCCGCCCCGGGGCCTGACTGCCAGCCTGCCCG